TTTTTTGATACTGTGTTCTTTCAGGGGCCATAAGGGTGTACTGTCATGTGCTAATGGGCATTCAAACTACTACCTGCCTTACTAAAATCACAGCGGTTTATTTGGTATTTTTCAGGATCCAGGTTTTGATGTTGTATTTTCCCTCAGTGATTTTTAACTATAGAATACAATTCAGACTTTTGAGTGTGGCATACGGCACTTGTTATCATTTGTCATGGCCTTTCTTGTCTTCTCTTCATTCTCCAACCTGAAAACATATACTCACACACCTGCTCTTAAAAGCTGGCACACTGAACTTTATGTATTTCTTCATAAATAGACCACTTTGTCCTACTTCTTATGTTCTTAACTATTCACTTTTCAATAATTTAGTCAGTTTTGCTTTGAAAACATGCTTTGAAAACATCCTTAGACTTATCACTTTTTTCTTATACCATTCCCACATTATGTACCTAATTTTTTTTTTTTACAAGTTCGTTAGTTTATTTTCATATGTCATCCACCAAGATACATTGAAAGATATTTTCACCTTGAGGGTAGAAATTCTGGCAATAAAAGCCAGATTCAAATAAATTTAGTCTCTAGTAAAAAAATCTCTACAAATGATTTTTACCGTGAGATAATGCTCTCCCTGATAATTTACATAATTAACTATTTTATTGGGTGATTGACTGGCTATACTTGTCAGCTTGGCTCAGTTTATAAGGAGGGAGCAAGGAATGCATTTGCTTTATTCCCTCCTTATAAACCGAAAGCAAACATTTTAAGAAGTTGGTTGTTGTTAAGTGCCATCGAATCAGTTTTGACTCACAGTGACCCCTGTATAGGGTTTCCTAGGAGCAGCTGGTGGATTTGAACTGCTGACCTTGAGGTTCATATTCCAGTCCTGATCGACAGTGTCACATCAGGAGTCCAAGGACATGGTGGTATTGGGCAATATGTATTTGTCTTGATTACTGGTCATTTCAGACATATGGAGACACTTAGGATCCCTAAGATGAACTATGTATATGTATAATCTGGGTGCTAAAACTGTTGTTAAGTGCTGTGGCGTCAGAGTATGCTTTTGAATCTTGAGGTGTCGCTCGTGTTTGTTAATGCAATCATTTTCTGGGCCAGATTTGAGGATGTGCTATTAAAGTATATTTACAAGAAAGACAAAACATCTCCCCAGAATGGTCTTAAAGAATGGTAATAATTTTATGTAGGGAAGCCAAGGCTTCCCATTAGTTTTCAAGCACTTTCTGTGCACAAGACAGGGCTAGGGACTTCCGACTAGCAACTTGTTCCTGCTGTGGAGGACCTTCTTAAATCATTCCCTCCTGCATGCAGGAAGGACTCAAGAGAACAGAGCTTTATTTCTCATTTTACTGTAAGCCTTATCAGGTCCTTTTATTAACTGGAGTATGGTATTGGACAGATAAAATGGAAATTACTTTTAATCATGAATGTAACTTTCTTATATACGTACTGCGGTCAAGTTGATTACAACTCATAACAATCCTGTTGGACATTTCACACCAGCCCAGTGGGGTTCACGAGGCGGTAAACCTTAAGAAGCAGACTGCCCCATCTCTCTGTCCCAGGAGCAGCTGAAGGATTTCTCACTGCCAACTTTACAGTTAGCAGCACAGCACTGCACTCACTGTGCCACCAGAGCACCTTAACCTTCATCTAGTGATTTACAGATAGTATGGCATGATTTGGGTAGAGTAACTAACTGTTTTTCCTCCCTTTCTCCCCCCTCTTTCTTAGGGTGAAAATCCTATTTATAAGAGTGCCGTAACAACCGTTGTCAATCCGAAGTATGAGGGGAAATGAGCACTGCTTGTTCCAGTTTCACAACACTGAATGCAAAGTAGCAAATTTCATAGTCACAGTAAGGTAGCTTTAGGGTAAAGAGTTTGAAAAAATGTATCATATGTATAATTGTTTTCCTTTTTATTGTTTTGAAAATAATGTTATAATCAATGCCAGGGACTGACAGAAGACTTGAGACAGGATGGTTATCCTTGTCAGCAACGGTCACGATGTGCCTTTTTTTGACCTTTTCCTCCTGAACTATTGAAATGAAGCTCTTACTGGCTAATAAACGGCTAAAGTAATTGAAAGGACAGTAGCTAAAGGGAACAGCGTGCTGAGTTTTACTAATCAAGTATTAAATTTGATTTTTAGCTTTACAGATACGTCGGGACTTGAGTTTCCAGTTACATGGAATCCAACGTAAATGTCCAACTAGCTACTTTAGAATGGCTTTAAGTTTTTATTATTTTGTCGTTTGCCTGTCACACATGAGCGATGGCATATCTCTGAAAGTTGAGTATGTTGAGTGGTGGGAATTAGGGTTAAAGACAGCTTTGGAATATTTGATCTACAAAGGCCATGGGGAGAATTCAGAGTTCGGAAGGAAAAAAATAGCTTTAAAAACCTGTGTGCCATTTTACGAGTTACTTCCTCTAGGTAACTTCTATGCCTTCTGTTTATAAATTCAATTCAAACCTTGGATGAAAGTACTGGGAAATCGTCTGCAAAAAAGTCCTTGATTTAGCATTATTTGCATAAAGGCCTTAATTTGTGTAGTATTTGCTGAATGGGGACCTTTTTGGTTAAATCTGTTTTATTTTGTTTAAAGCCTGGGTGTTTTTTATTATTTTTATTACCTCTCCTAATCTTTTAATGTATTTGTTTGCAAGTTATCAGGATCTTTTCTTTGAAATGTAGCTGTAAATTTGCCTTTTGAATGAACATTGACATGTACTGTAGCTTATATGCAGCAGCTCCACCTAAGCCCAGCCTGGCTCCCTTCCACTCAACACCCTAACCGACCACTGTGAGTGGACCTCTCACTGTTTGTGTTGCCCAGCTTGTTTCATACTAGCCACTTCCTTGTTTTAAGTGCCTTTTAATTTTAACAGTTCACTTTTTACAATGCCATTTACTGAAGTTATTTATTAAATAAAAATGCTTAAATACTGAAACTGACTAGATGTTTTAACTTTATGTTGACCAGAAGTTGGGTTAGTGAGGTCTCTTATTTAATAAACTAAAGCATCTTTCTCTGTCTCTAAAAGAAAAATGTTTAACTTACTTAGAACTAATCATTTTTGTGTATCTCAACTTAAAACTATGAGCAGATGCTGGAAATTACATAATTTCATTTAAAATATAGACAAGGGATTGTTACTTCTGAAAAAAAAAGTTGGTATCTAGTGACAAAAATACATGGGTAGCCTGTCTGGGGAGGTGGGACTTGATGGCAGATTAGGGAGAAAGGCTGTGGTGACCTCCACAAGTAACGACATGCAACACTGGCCAAAAAACAAGTTTCAAAGGTTGGTTCCGGAACTCAAACTTCATATGAAGAGATAATTAGGAGGATCAGAGCCTTACCATCATCAAATGAGTATGGAGCAGAAGCCAGAAAAGGGGTGTTTTCTGCTTTGTGGTGGCCATTGAGTTCCTAGCACAGCCATTTTGAATGTAAAGGAGCAGATACAAGGTCATGAGAGCACTCCCATGGCAAAGGGCTGACCAAGTGTCATGAGATAAAGGTGTGAACGTTTCTTACTCGTTCTTTTATTTTCTTGTGTCTGCCCACCTCCACTCTGGGGAACAGAAGGGATACCTGAGTGAGTGGACAACCTCCCAAGATTCTACTACACAGGCACAAGGCTTGGCACAGCAAGCATCACTGGGTGTAGAATAGAAGAAATGGGAGGCATCAACAATAACACCTTTATACAGGAATGGTCTTCTAGAGCAGTTCTCATCAACACTGAGCTAGTTCTCAGTAGGAGAAACAACTGAACTGGCTTGAGGAGAGATGAAAGAGACAAAAAAAACAAAACAAAAACAAAAACGGGGGGAGGGTAAGCCAAAAACGAAATCTTGAGAGTAAGGTGCAATGGAAACATCTTAATTACTCAGGCAGCTTTGGAGACAAGAATCCAAAAGAGGGGTAAAAAAAATAATATTTTGATATGTTTTGTTTTGTTTTTGGCAATTCTGGAGTTTAATGTCCACTCTGGATTTTTGGGGTAGCCTTTTTATCATCTTTTTTTGGGGAGGTGGCAGGGGAATGCCAGCTCTTTCTCTCTATGCCTTACCCAATGAGAGACAGCAGTTGCGTTCATATAGATACAATTGTTGTTGTCGTTAAGTGCTGTCGAGTCGGTTCCGACTCATAGCGACCCTGTACAAGATTTCCAAGGCTGTAAATCTTTACAGGAGTAGAAAAGCCTCAACTTTCTCCCACAGAACAGCTAGTAGTTTCGAACTGCTGATGTTGTGGTTCACAGCCTGATTTATAACCACTATGCTACCAGAGCTCCTTTTACACCCTGTAAAATCCCAACATCAGAGCAAGAACCAATACCAGCTGCTATACATCACAGCACCATAAATAACTGACATCTGCTAAAACCACTCTGAGTTAAATAATAAAAGAAGCCCATCCCCTTATCACATCTACTAGGAGGCAATCAGAGAGCTTAAGAATACACAAACACTTCCAATTTGGGTCACAGCAGCGAAAACCAGGTAGGGTATGCTCTGGTGAGAACGTGGGGTGGATCTCACAAAGGAAGCACTCATAGAAAAACTCCAGATCTATCATAAGATCCAAGACGCCAGTTTCCCTCACTGACAAGTGAAAAAAAAAATCACAATATTAAGGAAAATACAGCGAGTTAGGAATCTAGAGACTCCCTCAGCAACTGCCCCTCCCTGGCAGAGTTTAGAGGCTGGGACTAAGAAAATCACGCTAAAAGCGGTGGAGAGGCATCTGCAAAAAAAAAAAAAAATTAAAAAGATGTGGAGACTACACATTTCTCCCTCTTTCTCCCACCCTCATTGCTCAGCCTGGCATC